ACTACTTAATTCTCTTTCTCTTTTCTATCTCTATGTCCTTAGGGCTTAAGTGAAGATTTTGAGTATTTATATGAATGAATGAATGAATGAATGAGTGAACGAATTTAATAAAATATATATTCTGCTTAATATTTTTAGTAGAGGCTTTATACATGCAGGGAAACTTTAAAAAAAGACTTTTTCTAGCATTTGCTATGTGATTAATAATTCTACTGCAGTACATAGGGAATGATGTTGCTTTCTTTCTATTTAACATCTTCATCAATAATTTCCAACAGGCAGTAAACAACAAATTAATGAAATCTGCAGATGATACTATATAAAGAGGTGTTGTAAACACCAGTAAGAGTACTGATGTAGGATAAATGAATTCAGAGAAATTAAAAATATGAAGTAAATGAGGAATGATGCAACCAGAAAAATACAAATAAAAAATCTAGTCAAGCAAATTTTAACTCTCCAGGAAAATCTGGATACTTCTGCTTGTTGATTCTAAATTACCTGTGTACTTATTTATTCAGCAGGCTTTTATGTGGGGCCTACTAGGTACCTAGGATAGTGCTCTGTCCTGGGGTTATCAAAATGAACAAGACAGTCAGTGCTCTTGCCTCATGGGGTTTATATTCCAGAGGAGGAGAAAGAAAAGAAGAATGAATAGTCAAGAATCTCCAAGATAAGTGAAGAGATGATACTGGAGTTGAAGGAAGAGCAAGGGAAAAGTGTGCTCCAGAGAGAGGCATCCCCAAAGCAAAGGTACAGGGAGGGTAGAATTTATATAAGAGTGGCAGACACAAGGAGCAGAAAAGGAAGATGGTTGGAGCTTAATGTAGGTGTGGCCTGGAGGATAAGGGGGACTTGTGACCCGTGAAAGAGCAGGCAGGGAACAGGTTGTGTAGTACCCTGTAGGCATTGTGAAGGAAGTTGGATTTTATTTTAGGTGCCATGGGAAAGCATTGACAACTTTTAAGAAGAGTAAGAAACAAGATTAACTGACATTATTAGGGCAGATATATGGCAAAGGGTTCAATTAGAGGGTTATAGCAGTGATTCCAGCAAGTGGAGGTGTGGCTTGGGCTAAGATCTGGAAAGGAAAAGCTTTTGGAGGACTGGGATCTCTTTTCAAGGGAAGACTGGCAGGACTTGTAATGGATTGGCTGGGGATGGTGATTGGAAGGACCCAGAAGAATCAAGGGCGGACTCCTGCATTTTTTGGCTTGAGCAACTGTTTGCTTGAGTAACCAGGAATGAGAGCTACTGACTGAAATTAGGGAGGCCTCAAGGAGGAACAGTTTAAAGAAGAAGGAAGTAGAAATTGGTCCTTGTGGATATATTAAGCTTGAGATGCCTGTTAAACATTCAAATGACATTTGATTGTGAGCTTAGTTTGCACTTTACTTATGGTTAATGATGTTGAGTGCCTTATCATGTGCTCATTACCCACCATATATTTTCCTGCATATGGTTTTTGTTTCAGACTTTTGCCCATTTTTATTTGCTTATTTATTTTTGCTAATATTTGTTAATGATTTTTGCTTCTATGATCATAGGGAAAATGGTCTGTAGTTCTTTTTTCTTTAATGTCTTTATCTAGTTTTAGTATCAGAGATGATAATTAGCTTATTAATTTTCATAATGTATCTGTACATGAGTAGGTTTTAATTTTTATAATATCCATTATATATTTTATTTTTTTTAAACTTAAGGTTAGTGCTCTCTGATTTCTAAGAAATCTTTGCCTATCTTAATGTGGATATTTGGGGAGAGTGATATGCTCAGAAAGAACATGGAAGCTCTTTGCCCTTTCTCCATACCTTCCTTGCCTTATGTATCTCCTCCATCTGGCTGTTTGGAGTCATATCCTTACATAATAAACCAGTAATTCAGAGAGTAAAATGTTTTTCTGAATTCTTTGAGCTGTCCCAGTGAATTGATCAAATCCAAGGAAAGGGTTGTTAGAACCTCAGACATGTAGCTGATTGGTCAGAGCGCAGGTGACAACAGTGGGGAACAGTCTTATAGGACTGAGCCTTTAACTTGCAGAGTCTGATGCTGTCTCCAGGTAGACTGTATCAGAATTGAGTTGAATTGTAAGACAACCAGCTGGTGTCCGAGAATTGGTGACAGCAGAAACCACCCCCTCCACATTGGAGATTGACTCCAGAATCCTTATTATCTTCTTACTGAAACTTAATTTGTGGGCTAAGATATGCGTATCCTGGAAAATAGCCCATGTGCATTTGAGAGAATGTGTGTTATGTTGTTGTTGGATGGAGTAGTCCTGTGTGTCACGCAGGCCTAGTTCATGTATTGTGTTGTGTAAATCTTCTCTTTCCTTACTTATCTTTGCCTGGATGTTCTAGCCATTATTGTGAGTGAGGTATTGATGTCTCCAACTTTTATTGCCCCTTTCTCTTTTCAATTCTGTCAGTTTTTGCTTTATGCACTGATTGGGTTGGCCAAAAAGTCCATTTAGTTTTTTCCATAAAATAAAAGACACATTTTCCATTTTCACCAATAACTTTATTGTTGGGATATTTTGAGTATGTTGACTATCTACCACATGGTATAATGTTGATTATTCTCAGCTAATGTCTTGATTTGATGGCTATCAACTTCAACTGCTCTATCTGACCATGGAATATCATCCAACAAGAAATCTCCAGCATGAAACTTTGCAAAACACTTTTGACACATTTGACCAGTCCTAGCACTGCCCATACACTGTCAATACACTGCCCAAATCTTATTTTTTTGTATTTCAGTGTGTATTTGTCTTTCTTGAAATAATAAAGCATAATATGCCAAAATTATTATTTGTTTTCTTCCATCTTCAATATTAAAATGACTACACAAAAATTGACCACTTTTGATAAGTTTTTTTAAAGCATACTGATATGACAGCTGTCACATTGCAATCTAACAAAACTGTTTTGAAAGAAGTTAAAGACAACTAAGCACTACTAGGGCCATCTTATGAAAAAAAAAACAAAGGAGGTTTTTGGCCAATCCATATTTTGATGTTCTGTCATTAGGCACATAGATACATATAATTGTTATATATTCTTGCTGTGATAAACCTTATATCAATATATAATGTCTTTATTTGTTCCTGGTAAGCTTTTATGAAGTCTTTTTTTGTCTAATGTTAGTATAGCCACCCTTGCTGTCTTTAGGTTACTGTATGCATGGAATATCTTTTTACATGGTTTCACTTTCAATCTGTTTGTGTCTTTGGATCTCAAAAGAGTCTGTAGTACACAGCAGATAGTGGGATCATGTGTTTTTATCCATTCTGCCAATCTCTGTCTTCACTGGAAAACAGGAACTTAACAAGTTCTTACTACGTGTAGGCGCTGTGCTTGGTCTGGGGATAGATCCATGAATAAGACAGAGACAGAGATAGTCTGTGGCCCCAGGGAGTTTATGTGTTCTTATAGGTATACAGCATTAAAAATTAATTACATGACTAATTTCTTATAATTATGTAAATCCTATGAAGGGCAATATGTAAGTGGATGGTGTTCAGAACTACAAGCTTGTGATCTAAATCAGACTTTAAGCCTTAGTTAAGTAAGCCTGGAACTGACCAAAAACCAAACAAACAAAAGAGAAAAACAAAAACAAAACTATAGTGTAAATGTTCATCTCTCTCCATGACTTCACTTGACTGCAACTTACATACAACTTTTCAACATATCACCATTTGTCTTTGTAAGTAAAATACATTAAGAAACCATTTCAGTGTTCATACATAGGCCACAATGGATATGCCAATAACTATAACTTTTCTTGGAAATGAGTAATATTAACCTGCTTAATATGTATTTTCATCCCAAGAAATAGACACTTGGTATTTTCCCTAGGACTGGATTATAGGTATTAGAGATGGAAAAAGCAGAATTGGCCACAACAATGTCAGTTCTCCCTATTTAAGAAAATGCCTAAAAATGCAGGAGCCTGTCCGGCCTCCTCATATAAGCCCACCACCACTTTAGAATGATTGCAGCAGACTTCCCCGTCGTCGTGTTGGGTGGGGGGACAGGCACTCCAGCCTGAAGACGACGGGAGGTGGCTGTGGCGGGGGAGACCCTTTCTCAAAACTGTGTGATTGCCTCGAGTCCTCTGAGCGCTGGCCAGCCATGACTTGTCTGATTATTTCTTTCTCCACATTTTTGATTTTGAGTTCTCTTAGCTAAAAGCTCAATTTTTAAAAGTCTCTGAAATCTGATTATTTAAATGAATGTAAGTGGATTCAATATCTACAACCTCATTATACGCTGCACCAAATCCATTAATAAATCAACCATGATTCAACTTGCTTCTGTATAATGGAATTTTTGCTGGAGGTGCTGTAATTGGAAGAACACCACCAATTGCTTGTTATTTAATCTAGTGATTTATACAGATATTTTTAAATGCATATAATAGAAAACCAATTAGTATTAAGTTTCATTTCCCAATTAATTTTGGGACTAGAATGATTAAACATAGCTACCTGAAATAGCTGGTAATGAGCTGAAACAGGACGAAAATATAAGCAATTAATTGACTCATCAATTCACATGGCACAAACTGTTCAGTTCATATTTTAAAGAATTTTGAAAGAAAAAATTCTCTTTGGGGGAAGAGCCTAGACGGTGGTCATAACCATGGGTAAGACACTCTAATTTTCACTCTCAACATAAACTGTGTGAAGAGTCTTAAGCTCAAAAAATCTAAAATTCGTAAGTGGACGTGGATAAGGCTGGCCTGTGCCCGCAGCCTGTGTATCACAATGCAGAGGGATTTTGTGAGGCCCTGCGAATTCATCACAAAAGCCCACGTCCTGCAGAGGAGGGCAGGGTTCCTCATTTCTGTTTCGGTCAGCTTTTTGCATTGTTGATTGATTTACTGCAGTGCTGTTGTCAGTATTTTATCAATAGTCACATAGATCTCATGACTGGCATTCTGGCTTTTTAAAACCGTCCCCTTTGCTGTTACAGAGACCTGGAACCTGGAAGCCTGCGGGGAATGGCTGGTAGCCGTTTTATTATTATTTATGAATTCATCAGAAAGGAATAATGACCTCTAATTAAAGCCAGAAAATTACTCCTGGAATAAATTGCTAAAGGTCAGTCTCTTTGCAAAGAACCTGCTATGTGTCTATGTGCCTCGTGTTATCACTGTTACCAATAAGGCAGCATTCAGTCTATTTGTATGCCTAGGTGAAGGGAAAGAGTTGTTGTGTTAGTTCTTGCTTTTGGTGTTGAATTTCAATTAAACTCTTTTAATTTTTCCCCCCTGTTCTTGGTATGTTTCTCTTTTGAAGGTGGGAAGAACTGCTCTGTACTAGAGGTGATTAATTAGAATGGGCCATTCTTTTCTTGAGAAAAGTAATATGAGTATTACTTTTAGTCCAAAAATATTTTGGAACTCCATTTTCTAACAAAAGAAGTTTCTCCCCAATTATAGGAAGTTCTATGAAAAGCATTTGTCTATTTTAGATTAGGAAATCAAAGTGAATCAAAATACTGTAATAATCAAAAGAAATAATCAAAAGAAACAGCCTCACTTGAGATTTTGGCACAGTGAATAGATATTTAAATATTTAACAACTCTTTTTATCTTTACCTGTTCACAAGTTATAAACAGGGAATTGGAATGAAATGAAAAAGCTGCCTATTGACTTTGAAATTAAAGTAGTTATTATGCCCAAGGTTTGAATAACTTCCCTTCTGTCTGTTAGAAGGTTCTGTTCTCAGTCTTGCTGGTGTTAAATTAATTATGTGCCTAAAGAGGTGTACATCATACTGTGTTGATGCTATGTATTCTCTCATATTTTGGGATTATTGAGGGGACTTTGGCATTTTTTAAAAAAGATTTTTTAAATTTGTTTTTAGAGAGGGGAAAATGGGAAGAAAGGAAGGGAAAGAAACATCAAAGTGTGGTTGCCTCTCACCTGCTACTCACTGGGGATATGGCCCACAACTCGGGCATGGGCCCTACACTGGGAATTGAACCAGAGACTCTTTGGTTTGTAGGCCAGCACTCAATCCACTGAGCCAGGCCTGCCAGGGTGGGGTTTTGGGATTTATCAACCCTGAAAAGATATCTTTGAGGTGATTCTTCAAATCTTGTTTTTTATCACATATGATGAGTAAATTTAATAAATTACAGTCTTTCTAATTTGGCATTTAGCATAGAGGTTTTCCTGCTGGGGGTGAGCCTGTCAAGGCCTGGAGACAGTTTTGGTTGTCACCACTCCGGTGGTTGTGCTACTGGCCTCTAGTGGGGGGAGGCCAGGGATGCTGCTGAAAACCCTACAGTGCACAAGACAGACCCCCAGACAGACAATAATCTGGCCCAAAATATAAATAGCTTGGAGGTTGAGGAACACTCATTTAGAGAAATAGGATAAAATGTTGTTTAATGGTAATAGTGACTCAACACTAAAATTTCACACTGGGAAATACAAATTTAAATAACAATGAGATGTCTTTATCACCCATCTGAAGAGCAAAAAGCAAAGGAAATGATATTATCAGTTCTGGCAGAGACGGCAGGAAGCACGCACACTCATGCATTACTGGAGGGAGCAGTTTGTCAATAGCTATGGAAAATATACAACTTTCCTTTCTCTCGGTAATCCCTCCTTTGAAAACATCAGTATACTAAGATCCAGCTTTTGTGTTGTGGTTAAAAAATTACTGGAAAAAACTATGTATTAATAGATAGGAGAATAATTTATGAGACATCTATAATATAGAGTATTATGCAGTTATTTAAAATATATGCAATGATGGAGAAGGTTACCCCTGATGTTTCAGTAGGTGGAAAAAATCAGTTTCATATTAACATGTACCTTATAAGACCATTTTTGTAAAACAAGCAGCCAATACCTTCCATACATTTGTACATTTTTAATGAGCACATGAAAGATTATTTAGCAGATATTTAATTTGATTGTTTACTTTGAAGAAATGAGAATGAAGGTGCCTGGAGGTTATTTATTAACTTTTCCCTTTCATATGTATTTGCTCTTCCATTTCCAATTTTAAAATTATAATATTGCTTTTGTAATATGCAAACAATTTAACAAAGAAAATTTCTGTCACTCTTCCAGGACTATTTTATGTTCTGTGTTGTTGTCTTGTGAACCTCCTGGAAATGTATACCTCGGTCAGTGTAATTAGTGAGGTATTTACTTTTTGTTTTGTTGATGAATGCTGAAATGAAAGGCATTATAGAATGAGTAGTTATAAGTATGTAATTTTTGTATACATGACACACTTCAGTCTGTCACTGGATATGATATCAATTCCATATGATAAAAATTGCCTCCACTGAGAAAATCTGAAGGTGATGGTGAATAGTGAAGAAGAGCAATCAGGAACTCCAGAGCTGTCCCCTGGTTTGGACCCATGGGCCAGTCATTCAGAGCTGCCCGGGGACCTGTTGAGGAAAGGGCACTCTTGTTTTCCTTGATGTCAGCCTCAAAGGTTAGGGACTTTTCCTGAATCTTTTATTATCTCCCCGTGTGTGGACAGCCTCAGTGTCTCACTGACACAGAAGTTGTTGGAGGTGCGACTTGATTGTTTTACAGTTTCAGATATAGTGGTGAGATGAATTTCTTTCCTTGAAAATTATAGGTGAACACTTGGTGTAAATACTATAGTTAAGATGGGGCACTGGCTACTATCAAGCAAGAAAAAGAACAGGGAGAAAGTTTAAGGGTCAGCAGCCCCCCTTCAGACTTTAATTATCACGGGTACTGAAACCACGGCAGCAAAGTGTTGACTGATTCGCTCACCCTGTCCCGTTCCTTCCCCTGTGGAAACAGCCAGCCTTGCTGACCACATATTTCTGACCCTACTCTAATCAGTTCACATGACTATTTTAATTTCCGTGGCAATCTAATGAGGTATATTTTATTTTTATCCTCATTTTATACTTGAGAAGACATTCACACAGAAGTTAGACAGCTTGCTAAAGTCGCACGGCTACAATATGTCGGAGCCAGAATCTAGGGAAGAAGGGTCCCCCGGGACTGTGAAAATACAGTGGAAATTTGAGACTGTGGAAACTGAAGAATCTTCTTATTTTGTTTGGAGTGATAAAAAAAACCAGAACACCATAACTGAGCAAATTTTTAGCTTCAGGAACAGGTAATTTTGTAAAGAAGACCCTTATGGATTAATTTGAGAAATATCACCTGTTATGGATATTAGCATTTGGTATTTAGCTAGGAACTGTTCACTACTTTAAATAATGACATTTATTTTGGCCCAGTGAATAAATATAATTCCTTCAACTTCTTCTCTTCTTTAGAATGAGTATGCACATATGCATATGTTCCTATAATTGCCTTAGAGAGCAGTTTGTAAGCAATATAATCCTCTGTAAATAAAAAAAATATGAAAGTTTAAATCATTTGGACCATAACCTAGCTTTTCTGGCCTGGAGATCTTGCGTCTCTGGTCATAATGAATGCAGTTCCATTACCATTTAATATCTTATGTACACGTTCAACGGAATTGTGACACCAACACATCAGAGAATGTAGGTTAGTCAATGAATAAAAATAGTTGGAGTGTGCTTTCTCACATTTGAGGTTTAATTCTCTCTCTGCTGGGAGTGTTATATTGAGAAGAACATATTTTGCAGATCTTTCTGCCTTTCTGCAATTCAGTCCTCAGTTCCTGTCTCCCTCCCTCTCCCCCCGACTTTATAATTTTCGTGTTCTCATACAATTCTGTAGCCATAAAGCCTACCACTATATGACTGGCTTTGGGGGGGGGCAATTTTGTATCTAGGTTTTCTTGTCACCAGTGAGTGCTTTTTTCCCTTCCTTATTGCATAGATTTTCCATATAGCACGTAAACCACACATCCTAAAGTGAAACACAGAGTATGAAGTCCATTTTGAGGAGGCTGAGTCCCCCTCCTCTTTGCCCTGAAGAAGAGAAAATTCAAAGCATGAAATACTGTAACAACTTATCCACTGTTTTTGATGAACAAACATTTGTACTGACAAGGTGAAAAAATATCTAAGTGTGAAGATCTTTGAGCAAGAAGATTTCTGACAGCTGAGGTTACCAGAGCTGTGAATACAGGATGGGGGTGGGGTGGGGTAGAGTCTCCTTAGAAAAAGCTGTGACAGGGCAGACAGCGCTAGGGTCAGGCTCCCTGAAGGATAATCCTTCGTGACGTGCCTAGCATGATGGAGGGTGTGTGGAGTCGTAACTGCCAGTCCTTTCTAATGCTTCCCTAGAAATAAAATCAAATAGTATAACTAGTTTGAGGAAGAATCAACACATTGGTATTAATTACTATACCACGGGGGCTCCCAAATGAGGGCGATGTCTTTGGGAACAATTTATTCAATTGAACCTGTGTTAGGATATAGCACCTGTTCTCCAGAAACACACAATCAATTCGCTGTGGTGATAAGCATCCCCAGAATTCAATCTGGAAAGTTAGACTGAGGTAAGAACTATTATGAAGGATACAAGTTATGCGGTACTGAAAGACAACAGAAGAGATTTGTTGTAATCAAGGATAGGGAATCTAGGAAGATGCACGGAGGACGTGGAATGTGAACAGGGACTTTTAAAATGCATAAAACTTTGACAGGAAGAAAGAAAGTGAGGGATGCATGGGAAGTGGGAATCATTAAAATAAAAGCTGGGGAATATAAATTGTGTTGACTACTTCAAGATGGTTGGAATAGAGGGTACCAAAAAGGCTGTAGCAAGAGAGAGATTTGGAATCCAGTCATGGAAGAACTGTACCTTTCAATCCCTCGCTTACTTGTGTCTGAGACCCCCTTTAACGGAAGGAACCATCATTGCATGTTGCATCACCTGGCACTCGATGGAGGTTGAATAAACACTGTCTCTGTGTAACCTGAAGAGTTAATTCCAGTCTGGTTGTGTGCTCGAGTTTATTTTGGCAATCCTAACTTCCATCCATTGTCAGTGTGCATTTCCATCATTAATCCAGTTTCAGGTGGTATGCGTTCTGATTTTTAAACCCCATGCGGAGTGGAATATCACCTCGTGACACAGCCTTATGCACATAGCTGTGAATATGAGATGGGCGGCAGCTGACCAAAAAGGGATGAACACTGTCCCTGATTTGTTTGGCCAATCTGAAGAAGACAAAACACTTCCCTATCTAGCAATACTCCCAAACACTGTAACTCTTGGCATTGAAAAAGAAAATGATGAAAGAAGCCTTGGATGCTCCATCTTTCCCACCCTCTCCATCTTGGACGTGGGAATGAAGGGGAGGCAGCCTCTGAATAGGGCAAAACAAATCACATCTGCGTGATGGATCGAGGCTGTGCTTGGCACACCCCGGGTGATTGTGTCGGGTGGAACAGTCATCAATTTGCTCCCCCAAAAGGGCGTGTGGTGGAGTCATAAATATTTCACAAAATGTGGGGTGGCATCTGCTTTCCTGTTTACGGAGAACAATGCCTGCTAGAATGTTCCTCCTTCAGACAGTGGTTGCCAGTTCTGATCTCTCAAAGAGTGATTTACCTGCTGACAGGAAGCGTTGCTATTTCTTTCATTTTCCTTTGAGTTTTCATTTTGATTTTTGATAACTGCATATTCTCCAGAGGCTGAACTTTATTTTATTATGCATTTTGTGGGAGGTGAAAGAAAACACACATTCCTGCTTACGGGTTTGAAGTAGGAGCAGTTTCTAAAGGGCAGAATCATTTTTCACGAATTGGTATTTTGTGGCTCGGTAAAGAGAAGCTGAGTTCTTGTAACATCACCATCAAGTGAGAGAGAGAGAGCGAGATCAAGGTGCTCTTTGTAATTTTGGCTGGTCACTTGTTATTGCTTGCACATTTTCATAATACTTCATATTTTAAAAGTGCTTTCATATATACAATGTTATGATATGATTGTTACAAAGGCTCTGGAATTTTTTAAAAAATTCCAAGAGGAGCAAACCAACTCTCAGGTTTAGGAAGTCACCTGAGTTTATGCAACTAGTTAGTGGCAGAACTAGGATTAGGACAGTGACCATCTTCATAAAATTATTTAAATATTCACAAGAATGAATGAATGAAGGAAGAAGGAAGGAAGGAAGGAAGGAGAGAAGGGAGGGAGGAAGGAAGGAAGGAAGGAAGGAAGAAGAGAAGGGAGGAAGGAAGGAAGGAGAGAAGGGAGGAAGGGACGGAGGGAAGATGGCAGGTGGAAGGAGCCAAGTGTAGCTGGGAGAGTGAACAGATAGATGATCGGTTCCATCTCAGTTCCCCCCAAAGCTGTCCCTGACACAAGGATCTCAATATAAATAATTTATATCCGTTCGTCTGTTAACTAATTATGTGATGTATGGAGTATTCAAAAGTCAATAAAGCTTTAAAACCATGGTTGGCGATGGCTGTTATGTTATTTTGCTCTCTTTGCAGTCAGGAGAAACTGGGACAGGAGCAGGTGAAGTGATTTGCTCCTGGTGCTGAAACAAGCCACCATGGGAAAGACTGACAGACTCTGTGATTTTCTAGGCTCACTCAGCTCAGCGGGGTCACGCCACACCTGAAGTCTCTTCCCCTCAATCCAGGTAATGAAACTGCAGCAGGGACAGCGTGCTTGCAGTCGTGTGGCGGGTCTAATAACTGGGCCGTCCTTTCCCGTTGTTATTGTTATGTGCTGCGACTGCGTCTGCCCCGCTTCGCGGAGCGCTCCGTCCTTTGTTAAAAGTACTATAGCTGAGTTACTGTGAGGCCAGGCTGCACTCGGTGCTGTTTCCTGTAGAGGTGAATTGTTACCTGGTTCCTCATTGTAAGCACTGGAAATACGTTTTTTCAAAAAAAAAGTTCCAAGTGAACACTGGAAATGATTTCGCAACACAACTTAATGAGGTTTCTGCGGCAGCCAAACATTAAAATGGGCACAAACCTGAGCTTATTTGGATTTTAATATTGTTCCCTCTCCAGGGGACTTATAACGGAATGCAGCTCGTATCTGTGGCAGGATCCTGCTTTTAGTTTTTTTTTAAATATTTATTTTTACAAAGATTTAAATTAAGTGCTATTTGCCCTAATTCCAGGGCAAAATCTTTTTCAATAAAAAAATTGAGAGGAAATAATATAAAATATTATCTACAAAGGATATATTTTACTTTATTTTTTTCTGTTCTGTGGTTATAGGCATGCATCTGTCACCGTTTGAACTTTGAGACGGTGTTGAATTCGGTTTGCTGCCTGGGGAGGAGGTGGCCTGGAGGCAGCCGGGCTAGGGTTTGTTATCAGGATGTTGTTTATGGAGGAAGAGGAATCACGGTGTTTATTTCTGGTCAGATTGTGTCTGTGTCTGGCACTGATATGAGTGTGTTCAAAGTCATAAATGGGACCTGGGGGACAAAGAAGCAGTGCCAAGCTGAGAGCCTTATTCTTGAGGACAGCAAGGAAAAGCGTAGACTCGGTTGGGATGGATCATTTATCCCTCTCCTCCCCACCTGTCGTCATGAACACAGACCAGTGCACGGGAGTGGAGATGCTGATGCCCTGAGCTGCACTCAGGGTCAAGCGGTCCCTGGGAATGCCAAGTTGGTCTTCCAAATCACGTGGGGCCACCTTGGGGAGATGCCCTGATGGGAGTAGCCTCACTCTGCTAGCCCCAGCCACCTCCTGTCCTGGGGCATGAAGGTTCTGAAGGTTTTCTTTAATTCTTTGAAACTGATTTTTCTCTGAGTTTTCAGCTTAGGGCATATTTTGGCTTTCTGAATACATTTTAAGAATTTTAGGAAATGATCAGACCTGTCTTTATGTAATTCTAATACACATTGGTTTCCCTTTTGGTTCTAAGTCAATAAGACAGTGGATCTAGGTCACGGAAAATAGAGTCAGATTAATTTTTCACCTTGAAATGAGATTACTGGATCTGATAGACAACTCTATTCATTTTATTTATTTAATCAACCACTCAACAAGTATTTATTGAATGTCGACTACGTGACCAACAGTGTCCGAGGCATTGGGATACAACAGTGAAAAATAATATATCAACAATCATAAGGGTCAATATTTACAGAGTTCGCTGCGTATCTGGTACCCTTCTAAGAATTGTATTTTACACTTGCACCGCCGACTAAGCACATCATTTTATTCTTCCCACCAAATGTGTGAAGTCAGAATAGCAAGTACAATTTTTACCATTTTTCATGGATGAAGAAACTGATGTAGAGAGGAACTTGCCCGAGGTTTTGTGTGAATGAGCAGATGTGGGTGATTCCAGCTCGCTCTCCCCTTACTGCCCACATTTTGATTCGTATCTGAGTTGGCGTTCTCATTCACAATGCCGCTGCAGCACGGTTGGCTACGTTTTCTAACATCTCTACAAAATCAAAACCAATTGGGATTATACCAGGATTTGGACTGACACAGATTTTGAAGGGAAGAGAGGGCTCATGAGTTGGAGAAACTTGGATGAGCCAGGCACTGTGCACGACCACGATTTCTCATACTCACAGCAACCGTGGGAAGTGAACATTGTTCTCCCCACGTTATACAGGGATGGGAAAGTGCAGTGCAGTATTTTGAAAGGATCTGTTCGAGGTGTAGTGGCCAAACTGGGATTCGAATCCAGGATTTTGTGATTCTGAAGCCTGTGCACTTTGTCTTCTGAAATTCCATTTCCCATGCATGTAAGACAATTGCTTAACTCTTATTCTCAGCACTGCCGTAATCTTCAAGGGTATTATGAAAGATAATGTAAAAAGATGAGGCAGTAGGGAAAAATCTGACCCTACTCCGTAGAGAAACAAAAAAAAAATACTTCCTAGGAAACTGTTTTTACAGCTTCTTAACCTGTGTGCTATTAGAAAAATATAGGGGACAAAGAAAATGAAACCCTTCTAATATTCCTTTGAAAATCAAAATATTCAGTGAATTCCCTTTGAGGAGAATGTGATTAACTTAGTCTCTCATTTCAAAAAGTTAAAAAGTACATTTCTCTTGATCATTCAACATTTTTGAATAACCAACAGCAATATGTAAGGGCCAGAAAGATGTGATTGTATCAGCCAGATCCTGTTAATAACTTGGATGGCTGTGGAGTCAAGCATGTGGCAGTTGCTCTGATGATGTATTTGCGCCCATGTTCCTGTTTCTCATCTCGCCTTCAGTCAAGAGTGCAGTCTACCAGAGTGGGAAACAGATAGGAATCTTTAAAGTTCTCAGCGTGGCTGTGGGCGAGTCATTTCTGGCTCCTTCGAGCTTATTTCTGTCTCTAAAATTACACACAATTATCCTCACAAAGGTTTAGGGAGAAGATTCATTAAGAAAATTACCACTCATTTAGAAAATTGCTGCTCAAGTTTGCTAAATGTTTCCCTGGTGGGCCTAATGAGCACACGGCTCTCCTCAAGGTGAATGAATCACCTGTCTCCCTGGGGGAGAGCCTTGCTTTTTCTCCATCTCATCCTTCCTCATCTTGGGGTGCCCGGGACTAACAGTTTGCTTTCCTTAGAAAGAACATTGACCTATTTACCCAATCTTTAAAAAGAGTTATGCTTCTCGAAAGTAGTGGTTTGTTCTGAATATTTTCTTCCAGATCATTCTGGATTTGTGAATGTGGGGGTGTAGAAAGCGGCCCACACAAAGCGGCACTAAGACGAGACCCCTCGATGGTTCTGTAATCACAGGTGACGCTTCCCTCTGCAAGTTTCAAATATGATTGGTCAGGACAAACACTATTTTGTACTGAACTGATTTAGAAAGGCACATGAGTGGCATGCGAGACAGTTCAACTATCTTAACCCACTGTGAAGTAGTTTATAACCTCCTTGTTTCTCAAGTCATCACTGATCCCAAGGAGCAAGTGCCAAAGGCAGCCTGACTTCTTCAGCAATCAGGCAGATAGTTGAAGAGGCCTGGTCAAAATCCTCAGTGAATATTTGCCTGTATGAAGGAAATGATGAAATAGACACTGTTATTGTATTGGAGGTGATGGATGGGAAGACTGCAGCATTAGCAATTTTCTCCCCCCACCCCCACCCCCGCCGTTCATGATAACTTCAGGCTTCAGCTACACTCCATCCCACATTCTCCTCTTGAAAGAGAAAACACATGAATTATTCTGATTGATAAGGAGGATTGGCTGATAGAATATTGTTCTTTTCTTCTATTTCTGGCCCTGCCCGTTTGTCACATAATAGTCTTTGAAATCAAGGACTGGGCTGACAGACAATCTAAGCAAAGAATCCTCTGATGGAGGCCCGGTCTGATGAAAATGTTGCCTTCATCTTTTTTATTGATTTGGGGTTTTCCTGTAGGGATTCAGTAGGGGCTACAAAACCAAGCTTCGGGTGACTTTGTAGCACACACAAAGTCAGCTTTTTAGGTATGTTTTCTCTAATTCTACCATTTCTTGATATTTCTCATCATATTTTGAGCTCATATATGACAAAATAAAAGTCCATTTATTTTCATGCCCAAGCAGTATTTTATTGAGACTTTGTCAATGACAGTATCCTATCTACAGGATAGTATCTCCAGACAGTATCCTATCTATAGGATAGGATCTCCAGGGGTAAGTAGTAGAGATACTGTAATGAGGGGAAGGAAAACATGTGATCTATGAGACTCAGATCTTTGACACTGGTCAAAAAGCAGAGTTAGGAAAAGATGGTGAAGTGTGTATGTATGTGTATCGAGGCGGGTGTCAGGGCCAATGACAAAGGGTCTGGGGAAACATTGACCAGTTCACCTCTTCATTCAATAAATAGTGATTCTAGGTATGGGGACATCAATGGTGGCGGGGTCCGTGACATCAATGTCTTTTTGTTGAGTTGAAGGGATAGTTTGGAAAATTCTACTTCGGAAAATGTATGGAAGTTCTTTTAGTGATGTTCCAATATTTGATAAGTAATGGAGGGAGGTCCAGCTCTTTGGGGGCCCAGGAAGTCGGGTGGGGAGAAATGCATGACTGGTTCTTACATCTCTCCTGCAAGCCAGTGCCCTGCCAGGGACCTTCACTGGCGTCATCTCACTCGGGGTCTCCGCAGTCAGGTGGGGAAAGTCAGGTTCCCCATGGTTTTAATGACAAGGCAGCCTCAGAGACCCGAAGAAGGAAAAGAAGAGGAAATGCGCAATCCCAGAAAGTATGGAGTAATTAACAAGTGCTTCTTGAGCTTGGCTGCACATTGGAGCTTTACAGTCCTCTGAGTGCCGGCTACGCTCAGACCGATTCATTCCCACTCTGCGGTGTTCGGCTCGAGCACCAGTGTTTTTGAAAGTTCCCAAGGTGATTCCAGTGTCAGCTCCTGTTGAGAACTATGGCTTTAAACAATATTTAAGGTATATTACATGTATATTTCTTTCTTTAAGATTCAGAATCAAGGAAAGTTAGGACAGGAAGTGACCCTAAAATCATCTGATCTAATTGCTTAATTGTACAAAGGAAGAACCCATGGGTGAGATAAGGAAGGTGACTAAGGAAATTCATGCAGCTAATCTGGGACAGAGCTGGGTGTCTTCCTTTAACTCTGACTTGCTGACCCCCTCAAGAAAGGCTGGAATACAGTCACGTCCATATTGCTGATGTGCATAATTAGACTTG